GCATCGGCCCCACCAGGTCAATTCCCCACTGGGCAAATGCTATAGGAGCACTCATCGTTGTCATCGCCTCTGTCGGTTGATGGATAAGCAGGCCACGCTTCTGGCATTGTAAACATTTTCTCACCATCGCCCTCGCATCCTTCTTCATCGTCGGCCAAAAGTATCCCGCTCTCAGAATTTTTGCGACCAAGGCCCCCGACTTGCTATGGTCACTACAACATCCTTCGTGCACTTTTCTCAGCACGTATCGACCCTCTTCTTTAGTCACACAGCGTAAATGCGGTCCAGCATATGACCGCTTGTAGAGAATGCCTCCGTGCTCAAAAAATCTTCTCACTACCTTTACCGCCCCCTCCTTCAACTCCTTCAAAATTGGGGCCCTCCAATCATCCACTTCCTTAATCTCCACCACTTCCGTGTCGACCACACTTCTCTCTAAATGTAATAGAGTCACACTTCTGCTCTTACAGTCCACCAAACTTTGAGCAATTTTCGACAATTAGTCTGCTCGACCATTCTCCCCTCGAGGGATCTGTATCAGCTTGAATGAGTCAAACTCCTTTTTTAACTTCTTCATCTCGTCCACACACCTCTGCATCCGGTTCTCCTTAACTTCAAACCCTTCCTGAAACTGCCCGACCACCAGTTGAGAATCAGAATGCACTTGCACTTTTCGGGCTCCTCCCGCGCCGGCTAACTTCAAACCTTTGATCACCGCCTCATACTCAGCTTTATTATTGGATATCTTGAACCCCACCTTGACTGCAAACTCCAAGTAATCGTCCTTAGGGGAGACAAAGACAATTTCCAATCCGGCCCCACATCTTGCCACAGATCCATCCACAAATAACTGCCATACTCCTCCAGACTCCTCCTCGACTTTAGTGCCTTCTTGAATAAAATCGGCCAACACTTGGGCCTTTATAGCTCTCCTAAAAAACGAGTATTCACTCAACTCGACTGCCCATTTTACCAATCAACCAGAAACCGATGGTCGGCCAAGCGTTTCTCCTAACGGCATGTTCGTTCGCACCTTCACCTTATGATTCATGAAATAAGGCCTCAGCTTTCGAGCGGTCACAACCACCGCCATATTACACTTCTCGATCTATGAGTACCTCATCTCCGCTCCCTGCATCACCCTGCTCATGTAATAGATGGGGAATTGTGCTACCCCTTCCTCTCGCAGCAATACCGAACTTACAACCCTCTCCCCGAAAGAAATGTACAACACCAAATCCTCACCTTGTACCGGTTTGGCCAACAAAGGAAGGTTGGCTAACACTCCTTGCAACTCCTCGAATGCTCTTTGAGCCTCCTCTGTCCATTGGAACTTCGCACTCTTCTTTAGTGTTTAAATAATGGGCCACTCCTCTCCGCCACCTTCGATATGAAATGACTCAGCCCCACAATTCGACCAGCCAAATTTGTACCTCCTTAATATTCGTTGGCGACTTCATTTCCATCACCGCCCATACCTTCTTCTCCAGATTCACCTCGATACCCCTCTTGGTCACCAAGTAACCCAAGAATTTTCCTGACTTCACCTCGAACGAGCACTTGGTCGGATTCAACTTCATCCCATACCTCCTCATTGTTAAGAACGTCTCCTTCAGGTCTCGCACATGATCCATCTCTTCCTTGCTCTGAACCAGTATATCATCCACATATACTTCCATATTCCTCCCAAGTTGTTCTTTGAAAATTTTGTCGACCAGCCTTTGATACGTGGCGCCCGCATTTTTCAGGCCGAACGGCATCACCACGTAACAATAGGTTCCTCGACTTGTTACGAAACTCACCCACTTTCTATCTTCTCTCGCCAAGGGAATTTGTTGATACCCCTGGGAGGCATCCATCAAGCTCAGCGACTCACATCCCGCCGTTGAGTCGACCAGTTGGTCGATTCTAGGTAATGGGTACAAATCCTTCGGGCATGCTTTGTTCAGATCATGAAAGTCGATGCACATTCTCTATTTCCCCTCTGCCTTTGACACCATCACTGTGTTTGATAACCATTCGGGGAACTGAATCTCCTTGATATGCCCAGCTCCCAATAACTTCTCGACCTCATTCTCAATGATCTTATCCATCTCCACCCCATGGTGCCTCCTTTTTTGCTTCACCGGCCTCACACTGAGGTTGATGTTTAGATGGTGCTCAATCACCTACGTGCTTATTCCAGTCAATTCCTCCGTTGTATAAGTGAAGACATCAACAAACTCCCTTACCAGGCTGATCAACCTCGACCTAATGGACTCTTCCAAGTCCTTCCTGATCCTAAACTTCCTCTTATTAAACCCTTCGACCATCTGGATTTCCTCCACCTCTCCTCCTGGCTGGATATCCACCTTCTCCTTACCCCTCTCCACTTTCTGCCTATCCTCCTTCGACCTCGACCCACCTGGTCGATTAATCTCCTCTTCCTTCAGCTGGGCCTCTCTTCTCGCCAATTGTTTGTTATTGCTTACTGTCATCTGGTAGCAGCTTCTCGAGGTAAGTTGATCTCCGGCAATCTCACCAATGTTTTCGCCCACAGGATACTTGATCGTCATGTGGTACGTGGATACGACCGCCTGGAACGCGTTCAAGCTCGTCCTCTCCATAATGATATTATAAGATGACTCAGCTCCCACCACCACGAATCTCACCATCCACACCTTCCCCGTCACTCCCGATCCTAATGCAACTGGAAGACTAATCTCACCCATCGGCATTACTTTGCCTCCATTGAATCTGTACAAGGCCGTGGCCATCGGCTTTAGCTCCATATTCAGCTCCTTGTTAATCTGCACAAAACAATCATAAAACATCACGTCCATCGAACTCCCGATATCAATAAACACCCTCTTCACATCAAAGCCCGCCACCTCCGTGGTAATCGCCAAAGCGTCATTGTGTGGTAAGACCACTCCGTCAGCATCCTCCACTTTAAAGCATATCACCGACATGCAAGCCGTAATCCCCACCTCCTCTCTCTTCCTCTTCACAGCTCGAGCATGCTCCTTCCTGGCGTTATTCGAGTCGCCATCCGTCGGCCCTCCTGAAATCATATAAATCGTCCCTCTCTTCATAGGGGCTTCGCCTTCGTGTCCCCTCTTATCTCCATCTCTCCTCGGCTTCTTCCCTCGACCATCTCGACCATTTCTATCATCTCCCTCCTCATCTCTATCACTCCTTTCTTCCGAATCCTCCCGGCATCTTCTCCTTCCTTTGCCCTTTGCCCTATCATGATACATAAATTCTTTCAAATGCTCCGCTCGAATCAACCTCTCGATCTCATCTTTCAAATACCTACAGTTCTCTGTGGTATGGAAGTAATCTCGATGAAAACGGCAGTAGCTATCTGATCTGGGTCGAATCAGGCTTGTAAACCTCGTCTTCAGCCATGTCACATCCTCGCTCAACATCTTCTGCTCCATCACCTCGAGCACTTCTGTCAAATCTTTTCTCAAAGGTGTAAAATTATGGTACCTCCGTCTCTGAAACGACAAAGGCCTCCCCTGCCACCTATCATCCCTTCTCTCCCACTTCAAAACTCGACCCTCCCTCCTGGGCGATGTTCTTTTCGGCCCACTCCTTTTGGGCGAACTCCTTCTCGGCGACCTCCCCCTTTGTGGGCTATTCTCCTTCTTTGGCTCTGGTCAAGCTGCCCCCTCCAACTTCGCAAACTCTACCTCCATTTCCTCCAGATTAATATACTTCCTGCATCGCTTCAAAACATCATCATATGATCGAGCAGGGGTCTTTGCCAGGAACGTTCGGCAAGGCCCCGCTCGAAGACTCCTTATCAATCCTCCTGTTTTTACCTCATTCGACGCTGAGTGTACCTCCAAACACGTCTGATTATATCGAGCAACATACTTCCTCAACGATTCCTTCTCCCATTGTCTCATCGCCATCAAGTTCAGATATGTCTTCTCCTGAGCCACCGCGCTCGAATATTGATTGGTAAGTTTGCGGGCGAAATCCTCAAATTTCGCAATCGATCCAGGCGGTAACTGATGAAACCAATCGAGTGCTCCTCTGCGCAAGGTCGATAGGAATGCCCTGCAACATACAGAATCAGAGTACCATGTAACACGACCATATTTTCAAAGGTCCTCACATGCCTTGATGGGTCAGACGACCCATCATACAC